CCGAAGTTTTAGAATATCGGTCTTTATATTTGTGCCTTTCAAAAAATATTGAATGCTAAAGTGATAATTAATAAATTAATCTTATTTGTTTAAATTTATATGTTTATTTTTCATTCAATATCCATAAAGTAAAAATAATTAATACATCTTTACTTATATAATTTTTTTTCTCGAAAAGATAGATAATATTATAAATCAAAATGCACAAATGTGCGAATACACAGCAGCCAACAGCTGAATACACAGCAGCCAACAGCTGAAAAAGTGGGAGGACAGGTCAGAAGACCGCCTAGAATCCCAACTAACAAAGGTAGAATAAAACTCACGACTAAACTAACCAACAAACACAACTAAACACCACTAAAACAAATAAAAAGACCCCAACAGGGTAATACCCGAGTGTGGATCCCATCATGATAATAAATTTGACACTTGGGCTCACAGGGCCAACGACCCAGACTAAAAACACAATATACGAACAAAAACTAACACAAACAAACACTAAAGAAACAAATAAAACACACAAGCCCTCCCTCTACAGCAAATCCTAACCAGACTATCAACCGCCAAATCAACCCAGGGAGATTCATCAACATGAGAAGTGCGACCCCTCCACTTCCAATATGCCTAGCTGAATCGAAACTTATACTACGAATCCCACCCAAAGCCGATTCTCCCAACGCCAGAAAAACACCGAGAAAGCTCCCAACACCGCCAGACCATGCCCCCTAACACCACTAGCGGACTATGAAAGATCGATAAGCCACCGGAACCGGGAAAGTGAGACAATCTCAATGCCTCAGACCTAGCCCACCATCCCGAAGACACAAAGCAACCTCAGCAACAAAGGAACCCAACTCCAAACCGCACGAACCAAGCCCTGCCTCCCAACAATAAGCCGCAGCCCCAGGGCTCCACCCAATATCAAAGAGAACAGAGAAGCACAGAGCTCTGCCAGTCGCAACAAAACAGAACCGAGACAAGAACGGCAAAGAGAGAAAACTCACCCTCAATAGAGTCTGGAAAATCTGACCAAGCTTCAATCGAAGGCTCGCCTCAGCCTACAATCACCCTTCCGCCGGCGAAAAGGAACAGAGGAAACCGACATAACCCTAGCATACCTCAGCGAGCGAAAAGAACAAGCCCAAAAGTCCATCCATTCCGACAAAAACGAGCTCGGAGAGAGGGCATCTGAGTAGCCAAAGGCACTTCGACCTTAGGAGGTAACCCGCCAGAGCCAAAACCGGCCCTAACCCAACCCCCCGCGACCCTTGGACCCTCTACCGCGCCGAGAAGACTTGCAATCGTAAACCCTAGCCTGCCGGACAGAGAGGCGAGTATGATCTGATAACCACAAGCGCCATCAGCACCGGTGACGAGTAGCGTCGCAGCGAGTGGGAAGGGCCGGCGGTGAGGGACGATTACCAGCCAAGCGGAGGCTGTGAGGAGGGCGACGAGGACGAATTGAAGTCAGCGAGAGAGATGGGGATTTTGGAATCGCAGAGAGAGAGAGAGAGAGAGAGAGAGAGAGAGAGAGAGAGATTGAACTACATGTATAATTTATAATCTTAATATACTATCATTTGGTGTAACCATTTATTATATAAATCATAAAATATTTTTATTTCATAAAATTAAATATATTTGAAAAAATAAAGAAATTTCTTTGAAACAATTGGGTGATTGAATTAAGGTACTGCCCAGGTTGATTGAATTATTTTTAGGTGATATTTAAAATAGTAAAAAAAAAGCTTCACACAACTTGGTTGGTCCTATGTGATAAATTTATGTATCAGTTTGATCAAATTAAATCGATTATTGAACCTAAATTTAAATTTTAATATTGAAAATACTTTATTACGTGAATGTGATGTAGTTTAAATTTTAACTAATCGTATTAACAATACTTTTATGAAAGCATGTTTAATAATTTATAAATATTTATATCATTTTATTAATATTTATGTGAATAAAATAATATTTTATTATAATTTTTATTAATGTACATTAAATATGAGGTTTTCAGAACAGGACCATCATCGAAACGATCAAGTTATTTATTAAATCATTTGTGGTTGGTTCAAATTTTTAATTTATAAATATTTTAATATATATATATATATATATATATATATATATTGTACTTTTTGTAACAAAATTCAAATAAAATTCGTTATTTAAATATCTAAATAATTTAAAAGTTCAAATGTTTAAACTAATTGATAAGCAATTTATAAATCTCTATTTTATTTAAATATGTAATTTTATTTAAAATGATTTTATATGTAGCAAAATTTATTTAGAAAATTGTATAGGTCCTACCAGTTCAACCGACTGGTGTTGACGGATTCAATAGCAAATATTTTATTCAAGCGAACTAGACTGGTTATAAACCGGTTCTCGGTCCATCCGGTCGGACTGTGACCAAACACGGTTTAATTTAAAAATGATGGATCTCGAATAATGTTATTTATATATTTAATTTATAACACAATCGTAATATTATTTCCCCGTGCATCGCACGGGCCACATACTAGTTATTGCAATAAAATAAATAGAAAATGTGAAAAAAATTATATTTTCGATTGAATAGAATGAATGTCCCAACCAAACAAATAACATCTAACACAGGATATATGATAAAATTAATCATATGAATCATCATCCTTTTTAACATATATATATATACTAGTGGGCCGGTGGCTGTGCAC